GCCGATATATATATTGTTTTGCAATTTGTGAATTATACTCCATGTTAACGTAGCTTTAGCTATTAACGTCGGTCGTTATATTTTCATGTTTATCTGGAGTGAACAAATCATCGATGCAAAATACAATGACCATCAAAGTGCATTCAATCTTTTAATTAAATTTTAACTTACTATAAATGTAACAGTATGTGGCTAATCGCTATCCGTGGATGTGAACTCTTCTAACTTGAACTTCTGCATGATGATTGCACCCAAAGCAGACCTCGAAGCATATTTGTCCATGTGCCGTATCGTTCTGCCTCACACCACAGCACCAACATGCTTGAAGAGCACATTTCAGAAGCACAGAAAAGGAATTCATCATTGGCCCATGGTGTTATTGATTTAGATCCGCGAGCAGGCAGTAATGTTAGGCAAGTTTCCTTTCTTATTTAGCTGTTAGTAGGAACTTACGTCTGCAACGAAAATTATGTTTTAAAAAAATAATAAATTTGTCACTCAATCCAAAATTATCTGTGGGAGTCTGCTGTGCGCAATTGGCTGCTGAGTTTTGCTCACAAAATAAATAGTCAATCCGCTTTACTGTATATGCCGTGTAGCGCTTCGAGACGTGTCTAAGATGTAATCAAAGCGAGATCAAATGAAACACCTATGATTACTATAATCATAATTCAATATATTTTGTTACTTTCCAAACAATGAAACATATTGAAACACATTCTATGAATAAATTCCCAATCTTCCCAATCAATATATTTGAGCACATATTTGGAGGAGAACAATGAACATATTTCGTAATGTTTCATGCCATGTTTGTGAAGGAAAGGCCCACAGAATCCAAAATCAAGCATTCGTTCGCTAAGTTAAGAGACATTCACTTTTACTTGTTTCGGGAGAGGGAACTTAGACTTACGAGACATTGGCTGCATTTGTATGGAAACAATTTAAAGCTGATATCTGCTCCTCATGTTGAAGGCTTCGCTGTTTGTGGAGATATTCATCAATGATGCTGAAGTTCAACAATGTGCACAGCCAATTCCTCTTTCTTGAAATGGATAAACTAACGCTTTCTTAAGCTCTCCTCTAAATTTACTCTGAGTGAGTACATAAATACAAGGGTTGGCACAGGTACCGAACCTTTGAAGCATGATCGCCGTTTCTTGTACAATATACCGCGTGTTATTGTCAAGCGTTTTGCTATAAGTAAAATTGGAAACTTGCCATTTGAAGGAATGTGTGATAAGCGTTATCCGCAACAGTATGAAACTGCCCGATATGCAGAAGAGTAAAATAACGGATTTTTTTCGTTTTTGTAACTCGGGATCAATAGTTTTCTGATCATTTCTCCGAGCCCGAAGCCTCCTGCGGACACTACTGGCCATGATAACGTGCCTGATAATCAGGGCATTAAACAGACAAATCACAGTGATAGCAAACATGGGAGTAGCAACACGGTGAAGCCTTTCAAACGCTTTCCAGGTGGCCAACGTATAACAGCTTGATTTCAAGACACAGTACCACGGGGTACCGTTAAGAATAACATAAGGATCAAACATAAAGTACCAAGGAATGCCCACTGAGCAGCTGAAAACCGCCAGAATTACAATAACAACAGTGGCCGTCCTCTCAGTGCAATATTTTGGTTTCAAATTTTGGCAGCAAATGGCGACAAAACGATCGAAAGTGAAAGCCACTGTGAAAAACACCGAGCTGGAGAGCGATGCCGACATTATCACAATTTTAACACTGCACAATGGAGTGTAAAATAAGATATTTAATGGGAAATGAAGATTGTTAATTTTGTTCAACAAAACATCCACAATTAGAACCAGGAGATCAGCCACTGCAATGGCTACCAAGTAGCGTGTGATGTACTTGGGGAGTCCGCAATTTCCTCTGGACAGGATCACAATCGCCAGTAAATTAACTACGAGAAGCAATAAAAATAGAAAACATAAATTAGATGAACAAAAACTGTTAGATTAAAAGTATGATAATAATCCTTGCATTTGACTTAGCGCTTTTTCACATCTTCTCGTTGTCTCAAAGCGCTTCACAGAATAGACTGTAAAGTGTATTGACGGTATAATTATGGGAGGTCAGCGGAGGTCAATGGCGCACAGCAGTGTCACACGAACAGTCGCAGATTGAAAATTACCAATTTATTACTGTTTTGTTTTGGAGGGATGATTACGAGGCGAGTGGAGTAAGGAAACTTGCCCTTGGCTCGTCCTGCCGGGAATCAAACTCAGTTTACTCGCTTGAAAAGCAAGTGCGCTAACCGCCGAGCTACAGGACTCTAGAAAGGGGTTTGGGGTAGGAAAGAGAGTTGAGAAATCTGTCTTGTCAAGCAGGTTGTGCCAATTTGCGAGGTGGTTTACAATTGTTGGTGAGTCCATAAACATGGGTCACAAATATATGTTAGCGATGAAGGAATCAAACATAGATATTAGAAGGAATACCTTCACGCAGAGGCAGTGGCACTGTGGAAGCTGCTGCCTGAATCGCTGAGGTTATCAGATGCATTGAAGAGGAAGGTAGCATTTCTCGTTAGGGAGAGTGGATAATTAATGGTTGGGAGGCAATAAAGTCTCATGTGGATTATAATCTCATGGACTGATTGTTCTGAGTGGACATTTTCTTTGCTAAATGTTGTGATTAATCTTTCTAACTATTTGTAATACCTTTACCACAGCCATTTCCACTTCTGATACTACTTTAATTGACGTACGTAACTGCATCATCTCGTCCAATTCCTCCTCTGCACATGAAAATATCCTGCACTGTCATATTCCTCAGACCCTTTTGCTCTACCAACATGAAAAATCTGATATGTTACTTTGTGAAATGACTTCTGCCTCCCAACGCAGTAAACTATTGAATATTGCTAATAAACGAGATCCAATAGACGTACCTGGAATTCCAAATGCTACAAGAATGGGAAAGTAAATTGCAATTACAGAATACACCGTTGAAAATCCCATTCTCTGTTCTAAATATTGTTACTGAAAGCAACGGCTTCCAAGAGCACACCGAGGTCACACAGAAAAAAGTTGGTATTTATAGAAAGCCAGAATCTACAGCTTGCATCATGAATGCAATTAGTTCCAGACCTGTGAACAAATAAGTCACTATATTCACTTGAGGATTGCATATGTAATACTCGAATTAAATTGGTGATTTTGAGTTCAAAAAAATAATAAGTAAAGTGTAGAAGAAAGTAAATACGGAACAAGCAGTACACTGTTATTGAGTTTTATTTCCATAAATTTAAACAGGAATCAAAATAATTTGCTTTTATGTTGCTCCCTTCATGTGAGGTAATGCATGGGAGTTTTGAAAGTTTAAATATAGATTATATTCACAGGCTTCAATACATAATATTCATACCCGAGATGTTGGTGGTTGTCAAGTGTTGGGAAGGGAAAGATAATCAGACGCTGGTCAACGAGGAACTGTGAAATAAGTGTGTCAGCGAGCGATTCCTTTATGTGAAGACAAACAATTGCATTAAGAGGGCGCCCCTTCCGAACGGCTCATGTATACTCTGTGATTGTGCAGCAGAGAGTGGGCAGAAAGGCTAACGGCTCGGTCACTGATATGGGTACACATAGGGCTGGGACAGAATCCGCAGCAACATGCCGCTCTTCTACAAAAAANCACCCTCCGCTTTAAATATGTGTAAGTTGAAGAGAAGTGGACCAAGAATAGAGCTTGAAGGAACGCTACACGAGACTGTGCAGGGGGTGGAGAAGAACAACAGCAACAACAAGATTCCATTTATAAAGCGCCTTTCACGTCAGGAGGACGTCCCAAGGCGCTGCACAGTTGGGTCATGACCCGAGCAGGGGGGAAATGGTCAGGGTGAGGGGAGGGAAAGGAGGGAGAGAGGAGGGGGGAAATGGTCAGGGTGAGGGGAGGGAAGGGAGGGAGCGAGGAGGGGGAAGAGAGTCGAGAGGGGAGCTGAAGGCACGGTCAAAGAGAAAGGTTTTGAGACCGGCCTTGAAGGAGGAAAGGGAGGAAGCAAGGCGAAGTCATGTTTGGAGACAAAGTGGCCATGGTGTGCGACCCTCTCATTCACAATTTCGCCCGACACCACACCACGAGGTTGGGGAGGGGTGGGGTGGGGTGAGTGGGGGCTGACAGGTCGTAGGGCGAGAAAGTCAAGATAGAAGAGACGGGTGTTGCGACCGGACATTGAAGGAGGCAAAGGAGGAAGCGAGGCGAGGGGTCTCTGAGATTGTGGGGGTAGAGAGGCTGAAAGCCCGGCCACCGATGATAGGACGGGAAGGGCTGGAGACATGGAGCAGACCAGAGCACGCTGAACGGAGTGAGCGGGCAGGTTGGTAGGGAGTCAGCATGTCAGAAGGGCAGTAGAGGCCATGGCTATGCAAGGACTTGAAAGTGAGTACGAGGATCTTCAATTCGATTCTCTGAGGAATGGGGAATTAGTGGAGTCGGACGAGGGTGGGAGTGATGGGGTCACAGAGATTGGTGCGCGAGATGACACGAATTACAGAGTTTTGGATGATCTGCAGCTTGTGAATGGAAGAGTTGGGAAGGCTGATGACGGAGTTTCCATAATCGAGCCTTGATGTGACGAATTAGTGTGCAAGGTAGCATGTGGGGTGAGGCCGTGTCCGAGTCTGGCAATGTTGCGGAGGTCGCACTCTCTGTCATGGCGAGTTTGTGGGTGAGAATGGACAGTTCAGTGTCAAGCAAGACATCAGGTTCCTGAATGACTAGTGAGGTTGAGTGTGCAGCCGTGGAGGTTGATTCCGCCAGCGGACGGGGACAGAGCTCTGAGGGATAATAAATATTAATAATCCTTGCACTAGATATAGCGCTTTTCACATCTTTGCGACGTCTCGAAGCGCTTCACAGAATAGACTGCAAAGTGAATTGTCCGGATATTTGTGGGCGAAATGCTCAAGCCAATTGTGCACAGCAGTGTCCTATAAACAGTCGTATATTGAAAATGACCGATTTATCACTGTTTTGTTTTGGAAGGATTATTTTTATTATTATTATTGAATAATATTTAACCGTAAGACTTCTGGTAACGGTCAGGGGCACCAGTTCCACCAAATTTCTTTGCTCCTCAACGACAAGGATCAGCAATCAACCGGTTCCAGTGACACTGAATGAGGATGTCCTTGATCTCCTTCTTCGAAGCTTCATCTACGTATTTCTGGTAATCAGCAAATAATGTTTTGGAGATGGATTGAAGGACGGCATAAGTTTGAGCCACATGACCACCACCCTTCACAGGAACTCTGATGTCAACTCCAGCAATTCCTTCCTTGCCCAACAGAAGTACTGGCTCCAACGTTTTTTACTGCAGAGTTCGTGGCTCAATCTGGTCCAGAGGTCTTCAATTCACTTTGATAAGCCAATCCCTCTTTTAGAGTGGGCAACAGCAGTTGCTGTTTTCTTACTCCCAAAGACCTGGAATGACTGAAGTGGACCTTTGGCCGGCATCGTTCTCCTCTACTTGCTTCGCAAACAGGGAAAAGGAATGCGGCACCAGACGGTGTGGGGGCTGGAGGAGACGCCGTTTGCTAAGACAAATTGGAGGAGATATGAGAGTAGGACCTGAAACATTCAAGAACAGAACCTTGAAGTTTGGTGTGAGATGAGAGGCGGTGGAGGAGGATTGGAAGGTCCACAGTGTCAAAGGCCGTGGGGAAGTCGAGGACGTCGATGAAGCAGAGGGAGTCCGCTTCACACATGGCTAAGATGTCATTTGTCACCTTGATCAGAGCAGTTTCCGTACTTAGGGCAGCACGGAAATCCGACTGGGGTGCCTCATGGAGGGAATGGGAGTGGAGCAAAGTGCGAAGCTGGGAAGATCTTATCCAGTAAAGGAAGGTTGAAGATGGGTCATTAGCTGGATAGCTATGATGGTTAAAATGAATGTTTCTTCAAGGTGTTTGCTTTGAGGGGGTGGTAGAGATACGACATTTGACAGCGAGATGTTGATGATGTTGGCGAGTAATGGGACTAGGAGGTGGAGCTGAGATTTAAAGGTTTTCTTGGGGGGTTGGGTAATGGTAGGAATGTGGGGTGTTGGGGGAAGGAAGAATGGGTCATGGTACAGATAAAGATTGGGAAATGGAGCAGTCGGTGCAGTTGCTGCTTCTGCGTGAAGCAGAGAGGCGGAAGGGCTCAGAAATGGCAGGACAGAGCGGCAGAGTTGCAGTGGGAAGGCATTTTGAGGCAGCAACAGCTCGGGTCTGGGGCGGCAGCCAAGATGCGGACATTAGGAATAGAGGAGGCGGATGGGACATTGTCACCCTGCAAGAGGCTGCAGGGGCCAGAGGTGTTCGGACTCAATCATTCCGCCTCGCCCCCTCCTTATCTACCTTCAAAACCCGCCGCAAGACTCTCCTCTTCGACATTGCCATCGACGACCCCACTTCCCCTCCGTTCCCTTCTCCCCCACCCCTGACCCCAGCTGTGATCTGAAATGTTGCACACTGTCCAGCGCAGTAGGACGTCCTCCCGACGTGAAAGGCGCATATACACGTAATTCCGTTGTTGTTAAATAAATTATAGCTAAGTATCAATATAAAAATGCACTGCTAATCATTATCTGCGGTGTGAAATCTTGTTCCTTGAAATTCGGAAAAATGGTTGCACCCAAATCAGATTTTAAAATGTATTGTTCAATGCCATTGTACTGGTCCTTCCTCCTCACCACAGCGCCACTTATTCTTGAAGACCAAATATCAGAAGCACAGAAAAGTAAATCATGGACGGCCGCTGGTGTTATTTCTCTTGGTTGTTCAGGGAAGGCCGAAATGTTAGACAAATTTACTTACTCCACTCGCCTGTTTACCTGTTCACTGGTTTACTCGAAATTGGAAACGAGTTGCGGCAGTAATAATCCTCCCCGACAAACAATAATAGTAAAAATTTGGTCACTCAATCCATGACATTGTCGGATACTGTTTTTGAGCAACTGACTGCTGCGTTTCGTCCACAACTTGCACAGTGAAACCACTTTACAGTATATCCTCTGAACCGCTTTGAGACGTATTGGAGACGCAATAAGATGCTGTATCAAATGCAAGAATTACTATTATTTTCGGACCTCCATACATTTTATTTAATACACATTCTACAAATAAATTTCTTGCCAATATATATAAAACAGTTATTTGGAGGACGGCAATGAAAATATTTCAGAATGTTTCGTGACATAGTTGTGATCCAAAATCCCATTTGATCCACAATCAAACATTCCAACACCACAAGTTAACAGACTTTCAATGTTAATGGTTCACAGAGCAGGAGCTTAAACGTTGCAGATAGTTACTCTATTTGAAACGATACAGTGCATCATTGATAACTGCTCATAATGATCCATCACATCCACTTTGAAAAAACCCTCCCTTGATGCGGCGCAGCTATCAAGCTTCAGGCACATCTCCAACCTCCCCTTCCTGTCCAAGGTCCTTGAAAGAGTTGTCGCCACCCAGCGGCGCTCTTTCCTCTCCACCCATGCATTATTTGAACCACTTTGGTCAGGTTTACGTGCTGCCCGTAGCACAGAATGTCACCAATGACATCTTGACCATCTGCTACCATGGCTACCTCTGCCTACCGGTCATCCTCAACCTATCGGCAGCGTTCAATATGGTCGAACACGCTATCCTCCTCCACCGTTTGAACTCCAACCTCAACCTTCAAGGCCCTATCCTTGAGTGGTTTAGGTCATACCACTCCCACAGTTTACATTTTAGTTCCACAAACGGCTTTGCCTCCAGCCCCTGCACTGTCTCGTGCTGTGTCCCTAAGGGCTCTGTCCTCGGTCACCTCATCTTCACCCTCTATATGCTCCCGCTTGGTGACTTCATTCGTAGACATGGGGTTAACTTCCACATGTATGCGGATGACATCCAACTCTTCCTTTCCTCCTCTACACTCAACTCTACAACCACCGATGTCCTGATATCCTTCCTGTCCGACATCGAGTCCTGGACGAGAGACAAGTTTCTTCAGCTCAATGTGCGTAAAACTGAGGCCCACCTGATAGGCTCGCATCAGAGCCTCCGCATCTCAGGCGCTGACAGCATCAGCATCCAAGGCTACACTCTCCACCTCTCAAAGCCAGTCAGGAACTTCGGCGTTCTGTTTGACCTTAAGCTGTGCTTTCTTCCTCATATCCGCGACATAACTGGCATCGCCTTCCATCACCTCCTACGGCACTACCTCACTCCTCACGCTGCTGAAACTCTGGTCCATGCCTTTATCACCTCAACACTGGACGATGGGAATGCTCTCCTCGCCGGCCTTCCCGGCACCTCCTTCCACAAGCTGCAGGTCATTCAGAACTCTGCAGCTTGAGTACTGTCCCGCACCAGGCTTCAGGACTACATCACTCCCACCCTCGCTCGCCTCCACTGGCTTCCCATCCCCCAGAGGATCGAATTCAAGATCTCATTCTCACCTACAAGGCCATTCACTGCCTTACTCCTTCCTACCTCTCCGACCTACTAACCCACTACCTACCTGCCCGTAACCTCAATTCCTCTGGCTCCGGTCTGCTCCACAGCCCCCGCTCCAAACACCCTACCATCGGTGGCGGGGCCTTCAGCCTCTCAGCCCCTAGGCTCTGGAACTCCATCCCCCAGTGCCTTCGCCTTGCTTCCTCCCTTTCCTCCTTCAAGGCCGGTCTCAAGACCTTTCTCTTTGACCGTGCCTTCAGCTCAACTCTCAATTCTCTACACCTCCTCACCCCATCCCTTCCCTCCCCTCACCCTGACCATTTCCACCCTCCTCTCTCCCTCCCTTCCTCCACTCATACTGACCATTTCCCCCCTGCTCGGGTCCTGTCCCAACTATCCAGCACCTTGGGATGTCTCCGGACGTGAAAGGTGCTATATAAATGGAATCTTGTTGTTGTTGTTGTATTTTGAGACATGAGGTGATCGCAAATAATCATGAATATAAACTGATGGGACTGCCCCATTGGTAGAGGGAGAGTACCGACTCTTCTGAGAGACGTGCTATTGTATTTCCTCTTGCTTTCCCTCTCCTTGCTGCAAGTGTTAAATATACTATATTTCAGAGCTAACTCTCTTTGTGAGTGTTTGTTTAATCCTAGCTATAACGAGTGCATCCGGGGTTCGACATTATCTGTGCAGAAGTGTTGGAGCCTACGTTAATCATAAAATGAAAGGAACGGCCCATCCTAAACAAACCATTGGTATTCTTGTTGAAAGTAGCTACAAAGACAGTGTTCAGACTTGTCGGAAAATTTCTGTCGATATTTAAATATCTACGTTTTGTGTAGCTTCTATGCCCACATCTAACTGATCAAGAACACGACGACCAGCTGTACAGAGACCAGACAAGTTAAAAATAGATCATGCATGGTATAGAGACACGAGGCCTGGTAAACACAGACCAGGCCTGTTATACAATGTCCACGCCTGTTATACAGATACCACACCTCTTTTACGTAGACCAAGCCTGCTATACAGAGACCAGGCCTGTTATACAAATAGTAGGCTTGCTACAGAGAGACCACGCCTGTTCGAAAGATACCAGGCCTATTACACAGAAATCGGTCCTGCTATACAGAGACCCGTTATACAGAACAGGACAGTTTTAAATAGTCCAGGCCTGTAACACGGAGATCAGCCCTGTTACACAGACACCAAGGCCTCTTATTCACAAATGATGCCTGTTTTAGAGAAACAAGGCTTGAGTTCAGAGAACCGGCCGGTTAATCAGCAGCCAGGCTTATAAAACAGAGTCCAGGGCTAATTTATAGAGATCAGGCCTTTTCTGAAGAAACATGGCCTGTTGTAAAGCTTCCATGGTTGTTATTCAAAGATCAGACCTGCTCTACAGAGATGAGGCCTCTTATATTGAGACAATCCTGCTATACATAGACCAGACAAGTTATACTGATGCCATGGTTTTTGTACATAGTCCTGACTGGTTATTGGGAAACTATGCCTGTTATACATAAAACAGGCCTGTTGTATAGCAACCAGGTCTGTTATACAGAGATAAGCACTACTATAAAGGACTTGCCTGTTAAGCAGACACCAGGTAAGTTGTAGGTAAACCACTCCTGTTTTACAGAAACCAAGCATGTTGCCTAAATACCAGGCCTATTATACCTAAAATATGCCTGTTATTCAAAGACCAGTGCTGTTATACAGAAACCAGACCTATTATACAGACACCAGGTCTGCTTTACACAGACCAGGCATGTTGCACCTGGACCAGGGCAGCTATTCACTGTTAAGGACTATTATAGAGACACCTAGCTTGCAGTATAGACACAAGGCCTGTTATGCCGACACCAGACCTGTTATACACAGCCGAGGCCTGTTATAATGAGACCTGGCTAGTTAAAAGGAAACCAGGGCAGTTATACGGATTGTACAGAGACAAGGCCTGTTATACAGAGATCAGGCCTGCTTTGCACAGAAGAGACATGTTATACGAAGATCACGCCT